TCTAATCTGTGTGTGTGTGTGTGTGGTGTGTGTGTGTGTGTGTGTGTTATGTGTGTGTGTGTGTGTGTGTGTTAGGTGTTCAAACAAGCGATCAAGAAAAATAATGCAGGGTGTATAGTTTACCTAGATCACATACATCGATACACCATATATTACAGTCCTAGGCTTCAGACACATATAAATACAGAGATAACAGATTTACCTGAACAACCCGTATGGATGATTAGGAATCGTCAGGTATTCGAGATTTTAAAGAGGCAATTTGCACCCATATCACAAACATACCGGACGAATATGCACAGGTATGTAGGCTATTACTCCTACTGTGACTATAGTGACTCCTATCTATGCTGTTGATGACTGGTGTATGTTAGGCATTTATTCTCTTGAAATACAAAAATTTCCCTCAACTGATTCATCTCTTATCCGGGATTATAATTATATATTGCGCGCATTTTATTATTCAATGTGCGGCGTATATGATTATGTAAGCCCAGTATGGGACTTATCTGGATGAGGGTGGAAGTGTTATATCAATTTACCAATATGTAAGCCAGTGACTGAGTACTTGCAGTTTTGTTATTTAAGCATTGTATATATTTTTAATTGTTATTATACCTATTTTGTGTATGTGAATTGTGAGCCCACACAGGGACTTATAAAGATAGGGGTGAGGATAACCTAAGTTAACTCATCCCTTTCAGATGTATTTTTTGTGTCAATAAACCTGTCAAAGTCAAAAAAAAGTTTCTCTCTCTCTCTCTCTCTCTCTCTCTCTCTCTCTCTCTCTCTCTCTCTCTCTCTCTCTCTCTCTCTCTCTCTCTCTCTCTCTCTCTCTCTCTCTCTCTCTCTCTCTCTCTCAGAGACAGACAGAGAGAGATAAAGAGACAGAAAGGGACAGAGAGAGAGAGAGAGAGAGGCATGATATATAATATATATATATATATATATATATATATATATATATATATATATATATATATATATATATATATATGTGTGCTGTATGTGTGATGTGTGTGTGTGGTGTGTGTGTGTGTGTGGTGTGTGTGCTCTGTGTGCTGCTGTGCTGTGTGTGATTGTGTGTGTGTGTGTGTGTGTGTGTGATGTGTGTGTGTTCTCTCACCCTCTCTCTCTGTTCCTGTCTGTCTCTTTGCCTCTCTGTCTCTGTCTCTGAGAGAGACAGAGCTCTTAAACAACTAATATTGACCGTCTCAAATAAACGGATACACCTACATCTTGGCTGTCAGCGTAGAAGAGGTCAGGTCAAAGTGGCCCCTTGTGCTGTTTGATGGATTATGTGATATGTTTTATACACGTGCATGGAGAAGGAGTAAGCGAGAGAAAGAGAAGAAAGGGAGTAAGAGGATGGAGAATAATAAGAGAGAAAAGGAGGAGAGAGGAAAGGAAGCGAGCAAGAGGTAGAGAAAGGGGAGCGGGGAAGTGAGCGAAAAAATGAAAGGGAGAAAATTGGGGACGCAGGAAAACCGATTAGCATGAAGGTAGACACATATATATAAAGACGCGTATAATTTCATAATTTCATAAATTCCCCCAAAGATATTTTTTTCTAATTTGATTTACACTTAGGTAACAGCACACATAAAATATTCATAAACTACCATATTCTGAAATAGTAAATAATTATACACACGATCCCTTTCAACAATAACAAAAACCACCTTGGTTGTGACTGGAATCTGACCTTGTTTTTATATTTTCCTCTTATTCCAGCTATTTACCCATCGCTTAGGGATGAAATAGCCATGGAATTTAAGAAATGAAAGAATTATAGAAGCCATGAAGGAAATGAAAGCGAAAAGACGTCACCAAGAGAAGAAAAACGGAAGATAATTGATGTGACATTGACAGGAAGTTTCCGCCCACTGCCATAAGAGAAGAGAAAAAAGAAAATAAGTAAATAATGAAGATCCTTGTGTCCTGACGAAGAAGGAAGGAAGGATGCTGTGGTGACGGTTAAATGAATACGTAAATTGTAAGGTGAGTTTTATGTTCAGTTGATCAGTAACGCTAAAAGTAGAGTAAAATTTTAGTCTTGTAAGTAATAGTTATGTCAATATGAACCGGTATTTGGTTTAAACTTCGAAATATTTTTCAAATCTATTTTAGCATTATTTTACCATATACATTATCCAGTTCATACCATGTCAAATTAGAGGTAATAAGGCCAATATAAAGAAAGACAAATTTGAGAACAGATTAAATAAGTGAAATCAAATTAAACAAAACCAGTTCAAGTCATATGGAAATAAAACCATACTATCAAGTTAAGTCATACTATTTTAGATTAAATCTTGCTAAACCAACTGTTAAAAGGTAAATATAATGGAAAGATCCTTGTCTCTGACACAAATTAATCTAATACTGTTGTCTTATGTGTAGTCTGTTTATGGTAGTAATAATTTATACCGATCAACAATAGCAATGTTATTCATCCTGATAGATGAGAAGAGCAGAAATCAAAGTATGGTTTTTAAATAGAGTAAAGATATTGCCAATGTATAATAGATTATGAAGATAATACTCTGCCCAATCTATTAAATCTTCCTTACTCTTCTCACGAAATAAGAGTTTCTGCAAAAATGCAATAAAACAAAATATTTACCATATGATATTCCTTATCTTAAAGGGTACAGGGATAAGAAGCATATCTAACACTGATATATCTCTATATGAGGTTAACCCAGTCACGCCGGGTACATTTTGTAGCCAAAATAAAAAAAATCCGGGAGACTACAAAATCAGTGGGCGGAGCTTCCCCGGAGTTGGAGCGCAACCCCGACACAGGGATGCGTGGAGTGTTTATTTTTTTCGGTTGTCTCAGATATGGGACACCCGGCAGGAGTGGGTTAGTAGTAGTGGTATGTGGGTGCAGTGAATTTTTGTTTCAAAAGTTTCACCCCAAAAGCTAATATATTTTTCCCCCATAAATATTAGTATGCATCAACCTACAATTGGTACAGCATACTTTTATTGAGTTAAGCATACTGTCTATATTACTATTTAAGCAAATTGATAAAGCATAAGAAGTATCAATTTTGGAAATTACACGTATAAACTAGAGTGTTGAAATTAGTTATATATTCATATGTATTTGGTTATAGCGAAATGTGAAAGGACATTATATGTTGCAAAAGTTCCGATTTTTTATAGACACTAATAAAGTTTTTTTGTGTGTGTGTTTTTGATATCTTCTTTTTACACCATTTATTCAGACTAAAAAATTCAGAATCATATCATAGCACTTTAACTTTCTAAATTTAACTGATTTTATTCATGGAATTTTAGAAAATCAATTCAAATTTACAGAACTTTAATAATCCATTTTGTGTAAAGAAGAAAAATAAAAGATAATGATTATAAATAAAGGATTCTGTTTAAAAGATAGTTTTAGTGCTGTGGCATCAAATATGAATTTTTTTATTTTTTTAGAGAACTGCAGTTTTGATAAAAAAAGATAAGGACATTATAATTCACAGAAAAATAGATTTCTACAGGCTTTAGTGTTGCTCTTGATAAGGGCAACATAAGGTACATCATACGCTAAGAGACAAAAGTGGTAGTCTAATAGGAGAAAAGTATTTGTATATTCATTATCATTATTATTATTATTGTTATTATATTATTGTGTTATATTGTTATTATTATTATATTATCATTATTATTATTATTATTATTATTATTATTATTTATTTTATTATTATTATTTATTATTATTATTATTATTATTATTATTATTATTATTTTATATATTATTATTATTTATTATTATTATTTATATTATTTTATTTAATATTATTATTATTATTATTATTATTATTATTATTATTATTATTATATTATATATTATTATGTTATTATTATCATTATTTTTGTTACTGCTATCATTATTTTTGTATTACTGTTATTATTATATAATTTTATTAATCATCATCATTCACAATAATATATTACTATTATAATACTATTTACATTACTATTACTATTACTATTAGTTTTACTATTTATTATATATTATTAATTATTATTGTACAGAACCTCCGCCAAAAGTGAGGTTCCAGGTAAATTATAATGATGATAGGTAGTGCGTGATCCAAAAGAAATAATGGTCACTGCTCTTACTTTAATTCACTGGCCCTAGCAGAGCAAATACACCACATAAACAAATACAACACAATACACTAGTGTGTCCTCTCTTACTCTGCCTCACTAACTCCCAGATCCTATGACTCCCTTAAGATGAGAGGTTTTTGTAGTTAGGAGCATCGACTGCTTCCCTATTACCATAGGTGATTGAATACTGCGGGACTGACCTTCTGAGACACTTGTCTGAGAGGGTCTGCCAGTCATCTATTACTAACCTTAAACAAAAGGTTGTATTATTATTGTTATTATTATTATTATTATTATCATTATTATTATTATAGTATATGGAAAGTTTAATCAGAAAACTTATTTGCACACTTATCAGGTCAAATTGTGCAGATATCTTGATATGTTTCTAAAGGAAAGATATCCTTATCTGAAGTCATTATCTCAAAACAAGGCCTGTAATTACCACTTAATGAGTCTTTCCTGTAAATAACTGAATAGTAGAGTTCAGTTATGAGAGAAGAACCAAACTTTTGTAAGGAGCCAAGAAATATTTTACAGTTATGTAAGTTTGTGTAACAATACATATTTTGGTGACAAATTCAGTTGTGCACAAATGATGTGATTGATTAAGTAGCAAAGATAAAATTGGTTATGTGAATTAAGAGAAAATTTTAAGTGTTCTTGCACCAACCTGGTAATACTTGCCTCTACTACTTATCCCTGTGAGAATGCTGTTAAAGTAAAAATGTTGAACCACTTATTAGTCATCACAGAGAGATAACATGATGTGTAGATAGTGTAAGGGAGAAACAATAGCTCTCGTGGTTACTGGTTAATGGCGATGATAAGATGCAATGGTGAGGGGTATGCAGGTAGGAGAGAGTCAGTGTGCTTATGAACGGAGTGGGGTTACAAGTGTTGGCGAAATTTGGGGGAACTTCAACTGACTAGCTCTTTAATTATGCTTTTGTCTTTTATTTTTTAAAAGTTTCGAGATTTGAGTTATTCATTCAAAAGCACTGACAGGCTTTTTATAAGAGAAATTCATGCCATAAAGAATTGATAAAATGGATCCACCACCAATGCCAGATCGTGAAGAAGCCAATCCCTTAGACAATGCACATGACGCTGAACCTCAAACTTTAAGGGGAGTGATATACGATGGAATGGAGATGCAACAACACAATGATCTCAGAAGTTCCCAGAGTTCCCGGAGCTCTGAAAGATCCCAAAGTTCTGGAAGTTCTGGGAGTTCTAAAATGAGCACATATGACTTGACCCAAACAGAGCATGTTAAAGTGGCTGTTGATGATGAGCCAACTCTGAACTTGGAGAAAAGTACATTCTACATAAGTTGCACGGGCGTTTCGAGCACTGTCGAGAAAACAAGTAGAGTAAAAGGTTTATCGGAATCTGGGGAATCAAACGCGAGCAGCTACGGAACTTGTAAAGCCCACAGTCAGGATGAATTGGATGGTGTTGTGTAAGCATTTAAAGCAAGGGTTGTTTATTTTCTGTTCATTTTAAGATAATAGATTGTGTTACCTTGCAATATATTGTAAAATGTTAGGAGAAGGAGGAAGAGATCGAGAGAAGCAGACAGACTAACAGACTGACAGACACAGACAGACACAGACAGACACAGACAGACAGGCAGACAGACAGACAGATAGATAGATAGATAGATAGATAGATAGATAGATAGATAGATAGATAGATAGATAGATAGATAGATAGATAGATAGATAGATAGATAGATAGATAGGGAGACAGACAGACAGTCAGACAGATGGACAGACAGACATAGACAGACAGACAGACAGACAGACAGACAGAGATAGACAAACAGACAGATAGACAGACACAGATAAGAAATTGACAGACAGACAGACAGACAAACAGACAAAAAAAGTAGGGTAGTGTATTGAGTGTGAAAGGGTAATAAATGAATAAGTGAATGGACGATAGCTGAAAAGGTTAAATGAAAATGATTTCATGTTCTATTACAAGTTATGTAAAAGGATTATTTTTTTAATGCATTAAAGAAACAGCAATTTTGTCCCATTAAAGATATCCAAAATGAAGACGAGTTAATTAATTTTTCCATTCAACCCAGGTTTTTGAAAGGTCTGTCTACATGACGTGTTCACTTTATCAACAAACCACAAGCGCACTTGCTTGATTTCGACTATTATTTGACAGACGTATGAGACTGGACATGCAGTTGAATAGATTGCTGTTGAAAAATGAAATGAACATTTATTTTTAGCTGGTTGTGGATGATCTTACCTTTTTTGATAGAGCCCCTTGAGTTTTCTAATTTGTGATTTCGAATTAAGAATTTTGGAATTGCAATTTTTATCTGTAATTTTTTAAGATTTAGATAGTATCTTTGTGCATAAGGCTCTAGGAACTGTAAACTTAGATTATGATGATATTAATGATAATAATAATGATGATAACAATGATGATAATTATAACAGTGAAAACAATAATGTTGGTAATGATAATAACAATGATTATATTATTATTATTATTATTATTGTTATTATAATGATAATGATAATGTTAATGATATTATCAATAATAATGATAGTAATAATAGTATTAATGATAGTAAAAATGATGATAGTCATAAAAGATCATCAAAATGAGAAATGCAGTATTCATGATAATCCTGATAGTAATAATGATAATAGTAGTAGTTATATTAACAACAGTACTAATAATGATAATGGTGACAGTAATGATGGAATAATTGTGAAGCTCATGATAATGAATAGAAAGATAATAAAGAAAAAAAAAATGTATTGCTCAACTACAGCAATGTATGTTTTATGATGTCAGACTGATAAGAGGCCTAGAAACTGCATGGCACTGCATTTGCATGGCACTGATAACAGGGCATGACCTCTCTGTTATCACATGTCCTGCTTTCACTGCTTTTGCTTAATATTTGTTGATTTTAATGAACAAATACAGGCAGGGATTGAGACGAACAGGAATGTGTAATGTTGATGAATTTGCTCATATTTTTGTATGTATTATTCAAGTGTGTGTATGTAAATTCAAATGCATCTAGGTAGACACACAAACACACACTTGTAAGTGCACACGTGCACACACACACACACACACACACACACACACACACACACACACACACACACACACACACACACACACACACACACACACACACACACACACACACACACACATATATGATGCCTTTCATTAGGTTCGGAAGGTCGGAAAATGATTTTTGGGCATAATTTTTTTATTGTAAGTGGGATAAAATTATGCGTCAAATAAGAAGCTGAATTTGAAACATTTTTTTTAAACCTTCATGTGCTGTTTCCTGTTCTAATCATGATCAGATAGACTTTGGCTTTCCTACTTTGGTCTTGATATCAGTCAGCTTCCTGGGGAAATGAATGTAAAAAGCCACTCCTTCACATTTGCAGTACCTTGTGCTGTAAAGATTAGGACAGTAGTAATTTCTAGCCCTGCCTTTTGAAGTGCAACTGCAATTCACTACATCCAGTAGTTCTGAGGGGGCACTTGGTGGTGCTGAGAGCATTAAGGTGATGGAGGGACCTTCAGCTGGAGATGGCAATATTTTGGACTGTTTCAAGTGGGTCACATTGGTCTGCTACCTTGCACAGTGACATCTAAGGGTGAACTTGGAGTACTGGCTGCTGCAGGTTGCCATCAGTCAGTTGTATAGGGGCTTGTTACAGCTGTGATGGAAGTGAGCACAGTTCTATAGAGCTTTTTCTGTCAATAGAGCTTTAAGAAGGCATCTCCTTTTAGCTTGAAGTAAATGAGGGGTATATCTGACTGACCAAGCATGGGGGAGACCTGGTATGCCTGCCTCCAGCACCTTGACGACTGACTACTCTCCTTTTCTGTAATGGCAAGATGCAGTGTCACAGCCTGATAGCACATGGACACAGAGAGGCAGGCTGCGATTTCTGCTATGCCACCCTTGCCTCTGGATGTTGGCAACTGTCTGCATTATCAGTATTCAACACGTCAAGAAAGTGATGTCAGTTTCATCATTAAGAATGCACACAGTCTGGGTTCTGCCAAATAACACCTTCAATTTAGTTTATTGACTTATTGATAGTTCTGTCTGAATGGCATTTTACCAAGAAATGAATAATTTATGTTACTGAACAAAATCTAAGCAGGAGTTAGTATGGCAAAATTATTTTGTTTAATTGCAGGTCTTTTGCATAAAAGCAATAATTCTTCAAGTGAAAACACATTATTCCAAGCTTGGGTAAAATTTTATACCCTATCTATCTTAATGGCATGTGCCTTGTCTTAAAGAAAATACTTAAAATATGAGAAAAGTTAACCTGAGCTAGGACCAACATCTTGATCTCAGAGAAAAGTTCAACCATCAGCAGGTCTCCCTTTAGGTCTAAAACATAAAGCCATGATTGATGTCTCATTCCACTCCTCATTATGTTTCTACACTTTCTAGTCATACTTATTCATACTTATTATACTTATATTAAAATAAATACAATACTTATACAATATGAATATACTTATACACTATGATCTTTACATGGTATACATAGTATCATAGCTACTTATTCTCTCCAGGTTTTCTTTAGATAAATAATTTGTCTTTGTTGTTGTTTGAAACTCATGCTATCATACATTTTATTTGTATTTTGTTTTGTTTTATCCTTGTCCTTTATCTTCCTCTTTCCAGGTCGGACGTGCGCACCATAATGTCTCGACAACGCTCAGAGTCCGCGGCCTCACTTGAGTACTATCGCTCGCAGGACACACGCTTGCAGGTTGTTTGCTGGGGTTTCTTAGCGATTTTGACTACTTCTCTCTTCCATTCTTTACTTCTTCTTTTTTCTCTCTCTCTTCTCTTTCTTTCTTTTTTTGGGGGGGGGGGGGCAGATTTTTTTTTTTTTTTTCTCTCTCTTCTTCTTTCTTCTTCTTCTTCTTCTTCTTTATCAATCTTCCTTACCATCCTTTTCCTCCTCTTCTTTTCTTCTTCTTCATTTCATTTTTGTTCTTGTAACATTTTTTTCTTATATTTGTAAACCATACAGTTAATCTATTTGTTAGATTTTGGTTTCAATGGTTCTTAGTGTATCTATTTTTTTTTTTTTTCTAATTTAAATGCATAGATAAAAAGATCCACAAAGATAGGCATGATGCAGCCACATTCTTGCAGTCCTCAAACTCATAGTTACTGTAAAATCCACATCCTTTTACAAAGATTTTGAAAAATTCCAGTTCCACCTCTGAGATCCACATCAAATTTCATCTCCATACTCGATATTCACAACGCAATCCCACACACACAATATCAACATCAAAACCCAAGACGACACAACCACACCAGTAACCAAAATAACGGCATTCATCCACCCCCAAGGTCTCAGCGCGAGAGGAACTGCAGGTCAGACCCCAAAGCACAGAGCACGACCGTCATGTCCAGCAGTCGAGAAGGCTACCATTCTGGCTCTGGTTCATCATTGCCAAGAGTCTCGGAATCAAGCTGCACGCGGACGACAAGCCCATTGCGGCGACGGTCTTGTATACCCTCACGTTCATGACGGCTTTAGGTTTGTGCGTAGTTTGAGTGGCTGGTAGAGAGAGAGTAGAGAGGTAGAGTGAGGGTAAGGGTGACTGTGAGGGCGGAAACATGCTGCAAGGGTAAGAATGAGAATCGGTCAGAGTGAGAGTAGAGGTGAAAGAGAGAATGAGGGTGGGTAAGAAGGAGAAGGAGGAGTAAGAAGAGAATGGGAAGAAAAGAGAAGGAGAGAGGAGAGAAGGAAGAGAAGGAGAGGAAAGAAAAGGATAAAGTGAAAAGATGGAGAAAAGAAGAAAAGCAAAAGGAGATGTAGAGGAGTGAGAGAGATTTATCTTACATATTGTTTATATATTATGATTTTTTTATTATTATTATTATTGATTTTTTTTTTTTTTTTTTTTTTTTTTTTTTTTTTTTTTTTTTTTTTGTCTGAACGAATACTACTTTTAGTATCAACATCATTTTGTTGTGTTTATATTATTATTTTTATCAATGTTTTCATAAGATTTATTCAGTCATTGTATCATACAAAGGAAAATCACTTTTATGTAATAGAAAACTCCACAAGTTTCACAATTCCAATTTTAAGATATGACATCTCATTTCTTCAGGTTACATTATGTCAAACTGGTGGTTCACGGCATACGACATTGCCAGCGACTACACCAAAACTACAGTCATAGATGGAACCATTAGCATATTCTACTCGCTGCTTTGGGGTGCGCTGGGAGTATATGCTAACAAACTGGCATTCAGGTGAGGATTTATTACATTATTGATAAAACTAAGGTTTGAGTGGTAGATTTTGATTATTGTGTGTGGGTGTGGATGTGTGTTTTTGATTGTGAGTAAGAGTGGTTAGCAGTATTAAGATCTTTTTATGTTCTTAATTAGTAAGATATGAAGATGGTTTAAGGAAAGCAGAGAAAAATGTGTTCTGGGATGCAATTCTATTTCATTTTGTGTATATTAAAGTGGTGATATTTCCTTTGGTATATTAACCCATTCATGGGAGGATGACACCTTATGACACCCTATCATGTCCCGGTAGACCCTCCCCTTACACTAAGATGACATACTCGGGGCATGCACACACAAACCTGATTGAAGTTGTGCACACTAACCAGTTATGTGCTAGTTTGGCCCTGGCCGTATTTGTATTTTTAGCATCATTACTTGACAATCATATATGCCACGGTCAAGAGCATAGAGAGCAGGGTAATGATATGTTTCATGTGCTTCTAATTTTTCCCGCGAACATCTGATATCGCATGCACCTTGACACGTTTTTGGTTATTTCACTGGGTGCTTCTGTCGTGATTGGGTCAAGACCATATTAAAGATCTTTTGTTTATCTTGTGTATGGTTTAACAAAAAAAAAAAAAAAAAAAAAAAAAAAAAAAAATCTTTGGCTATATGATATCAATTAAGAATATTTTTCTTCCATGCTTTCCTTTGAAGTTGGAGCGATGCACGAGGTAAGAATGCTAATGTTGGAAATGCTGTCTGAAATCAGTTATATGATATGTGATATTTTTAGTATTTGGGAGAATGAGACTGATTGATGACTGGCTAACTAACAGACAGGCAAAAAAATAGACAGACACAGAGAGACAGATAGATAAACACAGGCAGAAAAAAGTTGCATGTATCAGAATTTTTGTTTTTCATGCATGTTTTTATATAAACAAATAAGGAAATGATTTGAATACGAATATAAATTTTCAGGAATGATCATCATCAGAAAACTAATTCATCACATCAAATCCATATGACAAAGACAAACCCCTAAAATAAAAAAAAAAAAAAGAGAGAGAAAGAATCACACTTTTGATTTTAATTTTCCCCCGAAATCCATGCTAGACGCCAAACAGCTATGTATTCCCTGTTCTTATTCTCCTACAGGTTGTTCAGCCACAAGAAGTTCCTGGACATGTTGAGGCTCCACTCGAAGACCATCCTGAAAATGAATGCGGCCGCGGTGCTCTTCACGGTGATGATGCTCTTTGCCTTTTTCAACGATGTCAATGCTTACTCGAATTTCAAGGACAAGACGTGTCAGACAGGTGAGATTTTACGTACGTTTAAGTTCTGTGATTGTTTGATTCAAATTTTTACGTACGTTTTATTATGTCTTATTCATTCAATTCTAGCATTAGTTATATATTTCTATTACCAATTGTGAAGAACTTATCCAAACTTTATATCGTGATTTTCTCTGCTATATTTAAAATACACCGTATAACGCCAATAAACCAGTAGAAGCCTTGGGTTTGAGCGTCACCGAGCTCGCTCTGTTCAAACCTCGGCATATATTAATGCGATAAGTTTCGTACCAGAGACAAAATACACACACACCAAATGTACATTCATACGTAAGGAAATTATGTACAACTCGTATTCTACAACACGCGGGTAAAGAGTGATGAACAAGAACACAATGAGTACTGCCCTATTTGTCCAATCAATGCACTCGCGTAAACGTCACTAAGTGCAAGCAACTATATATGCAATCATAACAGTTGGTGTGTGGTATTCTGTAGTATGATAAAAAGATTATATATCAGTACTACTTGCTACGTCTAAATAATAACATTACTACTCTTCAGTCGCTGCAATCATCCTATATCATACTAATCGTCTCTCTCTCTGAGATACAATAAACTGTACTCTCTCTACGGAGAGGTCTCTCTTCTCTTCTCTCTCTTTCTCTCTCACTCTTGTTCTGATCTATAAATATATCTACATAGGATACGTGTCTCTCATCTTCTAAGTGTCATGCTCGTCTCTCTCTCTCTCATGCTCTCTCTCATATATATATAATGCTTCAATACTCATCTCAGAACTCATTCATCTCTCTCTACTTCACAATCATCCTCCATACGTCTCATCCTCTTATCTGTCCTACGCTCACCCTCGCTCCTTTCTCTCTCATACACGCATCACCAACACCAATTCACACACATCACTCATCACTCACCACCTACCACACTCGAAGTATCATCTACTGAGCTAGCATTTATTTTCATGCACTGAATAACAAGAGAAATATCTTATCTCTCTATTCTCTTTTTTGCTCACGTATTTTCTTCTCATTATCATGATCTATTCATCTTACTTGCTCTCTCATCGAATCTCTTATAGACTAATATCATATCTAAATCTTATTTAACTTCGTACAATCACTCTCTATCTCACCAGACCGCTACTCTCAATCTAAAGTCTACTCTCTCTTCTGTCAATCTCTTTGCTACTATTCATCTTTCTCATTTTTTTTCTCTCTCTCTCTCTCTCTCTTCTTCTCTCTCTCTCTGCAGTCACAATACTCTGTTACTTTCTCACGGCTCTCTGCATATCTACTCACTCAACAATACCCGATATCGCATCTTCTCCTCTCTCGTCTTCTCTGCTCATCCACCGGTCTTCGTCCCTCTCTCTCCCTCCATCTCTTTCTCAATCACTATTAACACTCTTAGAACAAATTAAAATATATTTTGATTAATAAAAATAACTCAATTATATACACATATCAATTGCCACATATCGATCTTTAAATAATAACATTCATACATAATAAGAACAAATACACATCTACAACCACACATCTTAAATCCTATATAACTCTATAACTAAACGTAGCGTCATTACTGTGTTTCGTCTCTCTCTCTTCTTTCTCCTCTCTCTTTTTTCTCCTTCTCTCTGCTCTACATCTTGCCTCTACAGTAACAACTCCCAATAGCAAGGCTCCGCCTCATCCCTGTCCTAAATTAAGCTCATCTACTCTATCTCTCCTCTCTTCTCTCCATCTTCCTGGCAGCGAATCTTTCTACTCTCCTCCTCACTCCCCTTCCCATCAGTTCCCATACAAGCATCGGACAACTATCTGTTCCCCTTGTAGTATCCGAAGTGTTGAAACAATAAACTTAAGAATAAAAGCGCCTGAAACTATATATTAAAAAGTAACTTTCAAGCTCTCAAGTGAAAAAATACTGACTTCGACTTCGAATCCCCTACCCTCCTCATCCCGCCTATTCGCCCAGAGGCGTAATGCGAAATACTTGTGGCGGGAACGGCGCGACCGGGGGGTTGTCGGGTCCCTCTCCCTCTCGCCTCTCCGCCACAGGCTAAGGTTCAGGGCCCAACCACATATGTAAGCCCCAACCCCACAAAAATGACTCTGTCCCCGGCCAACTATAATAACATTCCTACTACCTCTCACTACCACTCACTACACCTATCCCTACTAGATCGGCACAGAGTGGCTCAGACCGTGTGGTAGACAAACTACTTGGACTGCAGAGACTATCTACCTCACGATCGCACCTCCCCTTCCTCCGCCACCCCATCCCTCCCTCCACTCCGAACCTTATTATAAAATCTTCAAAATCCGAATACCTTTCCATCGTTCCTTACGATCTCTCCCCAGAGATACCTCACAAAAACCCGTTGCCCATATAGAAACCGCATGATACTATCTCCTCTAGATTCCACCCTGCATCTCCCCTGACTACCCTTATACTAGACTCTGGCTCTTACCCCTATGAGCACTTATCACCCATTACATACTCCCTCTTCATCCCCATAATTCTCCATCTAACTAAGAAGACCTGTATCACTCTATCCGACTCTTCTAGATATGTACACCATACAGTATAGACATAGTAGACTTCGCGCTCGAATCGTATATATGATCCTCTGACACTTGCACTGACTTAAACTCGA